TGCAAATATTTTTTGAATGTATGATTGACACAAATGGTACTTAAATCAAAGTTTAAAATAGGTTTAAAATTTGAGGATCCCAATAATTGTACTGTGTTACTATGAAAGTTCCCGAGCATATTTGTTGCTACTCTATCAGTTTGTTGGAAATACAATACAATGATGTGCTACTGAAATATCTTCTCATGTCAATGTTCAATGCTATCATTTGGGCAGTTTAAAACTGACCATGATGAGAGTGTTTATGCCAGGGAAACTGATAGATACTGCAAAGCTAGATTTCATCTAATGAAATACATGCTTAGACTTAAATAAGAGTGGTTCCGAATGCTGTCAATGCACATTAAATGTACAAGTATATAAGTGGGCTTCAGTTGTACAGAGCATTAAAACTGAGTAAAACAATTTTCCTTCCAGGATTCAAAACCAATGCTTCCATATGGCAGGGGAGTCACTTGAGTGAGTGGGGAATGTGGGAAATTTGAGCAGATGTCTTAGATGCTGCACAGTTCTCCTTCAGTTAAAATAATAAATTTATTTAAACAACTTTAAAAAGATTCTCAGCAGACATTTTAAAAAATGAGATATAGACAGTGCAAATAAATGTAAGAAAAAAGGTTCACCATAAACAATTCTTAGGTAGATGGAATTAAAATGAAAGCTAGTTAACATTATGTGCATTTCCATGGTTACTATTGGAAAAGGTTAACCATTGTATGTCCTTGCAGAGTAGCAGAAAAATTGGAATTTTTATATACTGTGGGTTAGGGGGAAGGCATAGGGAATGACCATACTGGCTCACAGATTCACATATCTTAAATATACATTTACCTACACAACAGTTTGAAACTAAGACATATGTCTATATAAGAACTGAATGCAAATTTTCCAGAAGATTTATTTATATTACCCCAAACGTGGAAATAACAAAACACATATACAGATCAATAGATATAGTGATTATTCACCGAACACAGTACTACTCAGAAATAAGTAAATTATCTTTTCACATAAGCATTTGTGTTGAAAATTACTATGTACATGGAAATGAGTATTTGTTACAGAGTACACACCAAACAGTGCCTATAGAAGGATGAACAATATGAACTATTCTATTGTAAAGAAAATGAAATCCATGACTGCATAGAGGGCCGAGAAAAGCAGAAAGAGATTATAACAGGATATTAGGAAAATATAGGATGTGGCAAAAACTAGGTTTAGAGTTGCCGGTATGGAAAATAATACATTCATAAATAATAATAATAATAATAATAATAACAACAACAACAACAACAATAACAATAATACAGGAATAAACTCTGCCCAGACACTTTTCTGTAATTATTTTTTTGTTTAAAATATTTCTCTTATTTATCTCAAGGGAATTCCACTTATCTG